CAAATAATGATCTGAGAAACAATTGTATATCTTAAGAACTCATTTCACAAAGCTAGCTGGCTTTCTCAAACTCTTTTTCACAATTTTCCCAACATAAATTTTCCCAACATAAATCCACAAATTATTTGACACATAAAAGAGAAAATACATGAAGACGTAGACCTACATTATTTAGTACACAAATCTTGGAAAAAATCCAGTCCATTCATGTCAAAAACCTCTTAAAACATTTTAATTAGAACAAATCAATTAAATTTCTTTAAAAAAAATCAACGTTGAAATAAACGCTATTGAGGGTGTTAATGCAAAATGAATTGAACGTCAGATAAATTTCAAACTTAGAAATCCTGATTGGAAGAAAAAGCAGGGAACAAAATTCACACTTCTTGATTATATTTTTCACTCATTGATATATATTTTGTGTTTATGCGAGCTTATGTGCATGTGTTTTATATATGTCACACACAGCCGCAACTTGCACGGATATTATTTAATTTTTATTTTTATTTTTGTATATGTATGTACTTACCGAGACTCCTGTTTAGTCGAAAAGAAAATTTGGTCCCGTCAATTAAAGTCCACATATTTTCATCTCAATTAGTCGAAGTGTGAAAACAGCCGACTGATCAAAGGTCGGCGACATCAAGGTGAGATGTTCTCACTCGTGATTTACACGTTTCATAGTAATTTTTAATTGCCGGTCATCATGTATTATTAACACGTCGTAAAAGTGTCTTTAATCCGTTTCACGACTTAATTGGTTTTAACAGTTAGATAACTAAATTAAAATTTAATTACATATCTTTAAAAAAGTTTACTCGTGCCAGTCTGACGGGTGTTAGTCAAATAACAGCCTAGTCAAATAACAGCCTAGGTATTGATGTGTATTATCAACGTAAATGATATTTGTATAATTAATGTTCCGTCATATTGCATACATTAATTTGTACTTCCGGTTCACGATAGTTGCTAATTTCGTTTTCGTCCGATGATCAATTAAATCAAATATAATTGTGTGTTTATGTTTCACTATTAATATACATTGTATTAAATTTTGAATGATATATTTTTGTTCATTTATAATTTGTAGTTGAAAGTGATTTACCGTCATTTCAATGGTTAAATATTGCAGCATTGCCGCTAACAACAATAAGAAACCTACTTCTTTCCACATTCAATCAGGTACATGTATATACATGTACGAAGTCAACGTAATGGCGGTAGTTCCACGTTACTCGAATTCCGTTTCTCTCGAAGTAAAATACCTAGTCCCTTGGATTTCGAGTTACCGAGAGTCAACTGTTCTTAACCGCCCAATACCGCCTCAAACGGTCGTTGAACTTTAAGCACTTGGCAATCACTGCCGTGGGTTCGAGTCCCTTCATGAGCGTTGAATTCTCTGTGTGAGGCTAGCCTTCCAGCCAGCTGACGGAACGCCGGTGGTTCTACGCGGGTGCAAGTTAGCGCCAATTGACGGAAGGCAGTTGAGGTCTTCCTCTTGTAAAGCTGGAAGTCACCGTATGACCTGTACTGTGTTTGTATGTTTGTATACATTTTCTCGGACTTTTCAAAGCCACTAAAAATGTTGAACACTTCGTGGAATACGGAATCGAGTCCACAATTACCTGATAGTATCCCCAGCCTATGGACAGTAAGTCTATTCCAATGTTATATTTCTGTCATCACTGCAGCATTCTGCCATCACTGGCGACGGTAATACAGTGTGGTATTGAATCCTATACTGACATTATTCAAATCCTATAAGAACCATCTCCAAAACCTCCCTACATACTGACATATGATAAAGAACATCAAATGAAATTCTGTCACTTCACATTATAAATAATGACGCTTAAATTACCTGGCTTAGAAAGATGAGACTTCTGTACTGAATGATTACTTAAAAAAATAACTGTTGGACAGAATTAGCCAGTATAACTCCGGAAAACAATCGTGATTTCTGAGCTTGATGTTGATTGGATTGCAGCAGATACATGTTTTGTTTTGTTTTGTTTTGGGTTTTACGTCACATCGACACAGTATTGGTCATATCGCGACGTTCCAGCTTTACTGGCGGAGGAAGACCTCAGGTGCCCTTCCGAGCATTATTTTAGGCACGAACGGGCACCTGAGTAGAACCACCGACGTTCCGTAAGCTACAGATACATGTTTGCATTAGTTCCTTAATTGCTAGTCTGTAACATAATATGCACATTTTGATGTCATTTTAATTGTAAAAAACAATGTAACGAGCGACAAAGGCATTCAGATACAAATGTAGTTCAGCTTGAACCATTGGCTTGCTTGCGGCAACACATTTTACCCATGCGACCAGCGCAGACCAATATCATCCGTTCCGTCTAGTTATGGTCAGCACTTCGTTATTCTTTCAGCGTTCTCTAGATTTGAGGATTAGTTTGGTCCAGATTGAAATACGGTTAAAATATCGACAAGGCCATTGAAGATCTTTAGCGTAGTGAATGTTATTGCGTCATTTCACTTGAACCATTTGCATTAAAAATCCTGCAACATTTCATATACGTTTATTAGAAGAAGCAAAAACAAGTTTTGTATGTATAAAAGATGGTCTTCAAATGAATAACAAAACAATTCCGACGGCCAGAATGTAATTAGTCGCACAGTTATTGTCGGAAAAAACCCGACAGTATCACTTAGTGTGTAACATGTTATTTGTTATATGTAATTAAACGTACACACGCTCATAGCTCGTAAACAAACATGGCGGAGAGAAAGAAACCGTGTCTCTCGCGTTTGTCGTTTGACGCATGCTTAACATTTCTCGTTTACCATATGCAAAATCCATGTCTGTTTTGACTATTGTATAACAGAAAATAATTTTCAAAATTATATAACCAGTCTCATAAGGAATATAAAAAGATGTTAAAGTGTTAAAGGCAAATTTTACTGCGACAAAATAATTTTGATTTTTAGACACAAAATAAGAAAAGAAGTAGTCAAAGCCATATGTTGCCCTACCGTGAGGAAATTGTCAATGATTTCCACTTCCTTATCGGAATTATTTTGAACCTTTTGCATATACTAGTACATGTGTGTATGTTTAATGGATTTTTTTTATCAATTTCTTCCAGTTGGAATATACTGATTTCTTCATAAAAAGCATAATTTTTATTATACTGTTGAGACCTGAAATTCGTATTTAAATCCTAACTGAAACAGATTAATGCCAGCATATAAATTTCGTCTGTTAAGGTTCGTTTTTTGTCTTCATTGTCAAGAAATTATAATCCATTGATGACATAATGTAATAAAGAAGACTTTGTGTCAGGCATAGATAATCCCTAGTGTTTTCATTAATGAGTTTATAATCTTGTAATATGTTCATAGCAGTGATAAATCTTAGGAATACTTGTTGTCTCTCTCGATGGAATACATTTCAGATCTTTCTGAGATAAATATGTTGCCGGGATTTTTACGCGGATGTATTTGGCTTTTCAGTTATTTGAAATAACAGTTTTTTACACATGTATTTTGTATGTCAATATGACAAAGCCATATGCGTGTTGAATGTGTATCTGCTTTTATTATCTGATAATAAAAATTCAATTGTTCAATAACAATTAGCATGCTAACATGACTTGACAACTGGTTCTACACATGCTACCCGTAAAGACCAAGATCTCACAAGGTATTTCATAAAGATAATTGAAATCTGTAGACAAGTTGCTATAACATGACATATGGTCTCAACACTATTATCAGTATTTCTTAAAATTAATCCAACCAACAACCAAAATACAAAACAGAAAAACAACACTTTAAATCTTATAGGACCAGTGCAGACCAAGATCAGACCGCAGACCTGTGTCATCCGATCATGATATGGACTGTTTGCTATCCATTTGGTTTATACAGTCATGTATTGTGAAATTATTAAAAAAAAAAAAAAGATGAACGGTTTTGTCCAAATTGAAAAATGGACAAGTTTGTGCATGTATTTCTAGCATAGTTTGGGTCAATTTATTTTAAAATAATTGTATATTTAATGATTTTAACGTATTTGTACATAAAACCCTTAATAATTGTACACAAGTAACTTTGCATGTTATGGCATAAAAATAAAACATTTGTACAGTTTGGCCAGGCACAACACTGTTGGCTGACAGACACCAATTTTTTATCGTGATACTCATACAGTTTTCCACTGAAGAAAAGACAAACCTGTACTTTAGTAATATTTTATATAATATTTTGTTATTGAATTTTCAGCATGTTAGATGCTTATCGCGTAAAGAACTACTCTCCAATGTGAAATTAATCGCCGCAGAATTTAACCGAAGTAGTACATGTATTTCGTTTTTTTTATATACAAAATACTTACTAATAGTTTACTAAATGCAAAAGAAGCAAACGAAGCAAAATGAGTACCATTTCGGAAAATGTTGCAGAACATAAAATGTTTTTTTAAAAATCTTTCGAGAAAAAATGTGCTTTATTGGTCATGATGAACCTTTAAAGTTAATAGACACATTCAAACGTGATATGTTTATGAAATAGGAAAACATCTGCAAACAAAGTGATCCCTCGGAAGCATTAATCACAACAAAATTACATGAAAATTGCAGACTCGGTTAGATTGAGTCTGAACATGAGGGATAATGAACAAGTGCAACACCCCTCAAGCCCCCTAGCATCGGCTGAGTGGTACTCAATTTTCGATACATAATAGTACTGGCATCAAGAAAATCAATAACATTGCAAACACATAATAAAAATTCAACTGTCCTGTGCAACCTTAACACGCAAAAAAGCAATTATTTTTATTATTTCAGTATGGAAAACATTGTTTCACACAAATCTGTATTAAAACTGGTAAATGGTGGAAATGGTAATGATTGTTTAAATTGAAGTTCATATATACATGTACTTAAAAAGTGAACAATAAACAAACCATTTTAAGAAAAATATTAAAAAAATATCAAAATATATAACTTGATGACGCAAAACACCAAGAAAATAAAAAAAATCCATATTTAGTAACAAGCGGATTCAAAATTACAACGTTCCAAATAGTTTACCAACTCTCGCCTTTTTATAAAATAAATATTATTTAATTTTTTGTCTAAAGGATATTCATTTTGCTCGTGATACAAGCGACGGAGTATTATCCCTAATACTGATTGGTCAAATCGATGACATCTCCCGTCGCTTATATCAAGGAAATCACATTTAAGTTTGTCCTCCCCTACCGGCGCAATGCAAGCTTCATTCAAAGCGCACGACGCCCATGCATTCACCACAGCTTTTGTTATATGATCATAATGAAACACAACCGTTGTTGCCCAAACTTCTCCAAAAGATCTATATTTACATATGTCTTCTGCTAAATAATTGAACGTTCGAATGTCCGTCTGCTTCGCTATACTGACTCTTCTAGGATAAGATCTTTCCACAAAGAACAGCATGCTATTCTTTTTGGCATAGTTTATTGCACCGTCTAAATTGATCGTTATCAATTTTACTGAAATGTCAATCCACCAAACGAAACCAAATTCCAAAAGTGTCATCTGAAAAAGATCGCAAGAAATCATAGCTTGTTCCAATTTGATATCTGAGTATACCAATCATTGCGTTTAAGGTTGGCTAATTTGCTTTTAGATTTAAGTTCATTACGTTATTTAAGTACAACTTATTTGTTTTTTCGTTTGATAAAAACAAACAAACGAGAATTCTAAATTCAGTTACATCAACGATTTCCATTTTGTTCTGTCTTATTTATTTTATTTATTTTAATATGTATTTATTCAAATTATAATAAAATTATCTGTCCATCATTTTGAGAAATATTCTAGATACACAATTGATATTTGAATATTTTGATAATTGCTACATGCTCTCTTTATAAATATAAAATGAACATGTTTTGACTTCACACAAAGGAGACAATCATTTTATGCTTTTAATCCTTCACACCATAAGTGGACATACTATGAATACATAATGTCATTAAAAATGGCAGTTTTTTTAAAGAAAGGACCAGCTTTACTTGACCCATAATAAGGAAGACATGTTCCCGTACATAGTTTGTACATTCTTTTATTTAAATAAGACATATTCAGTAAGAATTTCATATATTTCAATAAATTTCTGCGAGAAAAAATATTTTGCTCAAAGATGAGAAATATATTTATAGTAAAATCAAAATAACAATTAGAGTTTAAAATTAACTGTTATTGCTAGGGACAATAGGAACATGCCTATTGACATGTTGTAGAAACAGAACAGCAAACAACCCCTCTTATTTTTAACAGGCTTCAAAGTGGGCTGTTAGACACAATAGTTCTCAAAAAGATATATTTCTATAAATAAAGTTTGCAGTGTAACTGTGCTATGTAATATAATTGTTTACCTAAATATTTATGATTTTACATCCTATATGATTTTTTTTTCAATCAATATTTTTTATAGAAATTTCAAGAAATAAAACAAGGAAGTATACGTTCATTGTATATTATTTAGTAAGGTAAGGATACACACGAATATCAGTGAGTATTTTGGTGATTAGATGTCTTACCTGGACTATTAATGGTTTGAAGGCATAGGTTTTCAGATTACGTACATGTGGCGGGAATATTTCAAATGGAAACCTTCTAATTTCACATTTACACTTTTGACGTAACTGAAAAAACAAATTGAAAAAAATGAATGATTACTGAAAAGCACAACAACAAAAATCTAAACAAATAATCAAAATTGATTTCTTAATATTTTACTATGTACTAAAGAATTTTTGATTTACTGCACATGTATACTTATAAATGAAATAGTGAGAAATATTGACGAAAGAAAATGCGTATTTTCAGTAGCCGTATTTTCACTGTAAAAAATTATTTTTCACTGCTGTGAAACATATTTTCCGTATTTTCAGTGGTGTTTTACCGGACTCATTTTTTTCTAAATTTAGCCAATACACAAAATTTAAGTCTTTCAAATTGTAATATAGTATGCGCGCAAAAACAGAACGTTTCTTACAACCATATTTGTGTCTCTTCTTTCTTCGGAAAACAACACTAAAAGAGGTTTGCATATTCACATCAATAATGCACCCTTCTCATGATAATTGAAAAAAAATTGTTTCACTCAACAATTCCAAACTTATCTTATCTGACTTGGTCCAAAATTATAAAAAATTCTATTCACCTCAACTATTTCAATGGTTGAAACCGATAGAGATTGTACTCTGACCAATGATATTTGAGACGTAGCTTAGAAAAAGTTTTATAACCAGTAAGCCTGGTACATGTATACGTTTACCGCTTAGTTTCTATGAGTGTCAGGGAAAAAATCAAAAATGGTGCCGCCTGCAATTCTTAAAGCCTGAGACTACAGAGCTTTACACAGAACATAACAAAACCTTTATTTGTAGGTGCTACAGTTTATAACGAATTCATTATGTGATAAGAACGTATAATAAATCTTGAATATAGCCCGTGGTCCTTTAGAAGAATATTCTACGCATGCGACCAGTGCAGGCCAAGATCAGTCGGCGCATCCATACAGCCTGATCACTGTTCAGGCAATAAATATTCTAAAGTTTTCCCTAAAATCATGTATAAATCGAAAGACTGACAAGTTTCATTTGATAAATTTGGCGATGTAAGGGTTAAATAACAGTAGATTGGTTACCACTTTTAATTGACGCTCTGACAAGCCTAAATCATACACAATCAGACGACTTTTACCCTTGTTCTTCTCAGCATCTAGTACAGAGTGTAACGAGAAAAACATTCCTTGACTATATGGGTAGTACCGAAAATCCATCGCTGTAACAAACACCGGAAATGACGCCATTTTGTCTGGTCGGGTTTTGTTCCCGCCAATCTTTGAAAGATAACGGTCGGAATCTCCTCTTGGGTAATTTTTTATTACTTGCAAATTCTCGTTAAAGCTTGGGGCGAAACTTTGGTCACATGTCTTTGAAAGATCTAGAGCAAATAAAACACCGATTTATTGTATTATTTAGAATAGAACAGAACAGAAATTTGTTTAACTTTTACAGCACTTTCGCGTCACAATACACATATTAAGTAAAATAAATAGCTAAGCACATGATATAAATCAAAAATTTAAAGTTTATTTGAGACACTGAACAATATGGTGCGACAGAAATAAGAATGCATATTATGTATGTATTAATATGATAATTGGCAAAGCATGTGTACGGAGAAGTCGATAAAAAATCGTTTATTTTGAATTTAACATTTTCCGTTTGTAAGGTATTTTTTAAACACCGCTTCCGGTTTCAATCGGAACACATCGACGATTATTATTAAACTTCGCGGCTTCCCGTTTTGAAACGATAAACAAAATATGGACACTGAAAGAGTTAAGCCAAACAATAGAATATTTTCTCAAATAGAATAACCTAAGTTTTATTATACTGAAAAAAAGAAAGAAAATCATACTGCATGACATTGTTTAGGCATGCTTTAGTTAACAGTACCCTTAAACCTTTGATAAAAAAAGTTAGATAAGTAAGCATCTTTAACCGTGTCACCCGTACAGTTTTGCCAGACTCGCTAGTAATTTTACTTTTATTTTCTAAGAATACCAAATAATTTGTCGCAGATATGGCTCCATACAGATCCATTAGATAAAAGATAGGAAAATAAATGCATAGTTACACTTTGATCCATCATTCAGTTCATATTTTCCAACTGGATTTATTTCTGTTGACACAGAATGATCTAAAAGGGAAAACATAAAACATTTAAAGCAAACCATTTACTTCTCTCGTATGCACATGTACGAGTTAAATTGCCATCTGTTTCAGCAAAACGTGAGCAATTTAAATTGCAAATTGCTTCAGTACATATGCCTTTATAAAGACATATCTTTTTCAGGCATTTCGGACAGACTTGGTTATCTATCAATTCCTTATTGAAAGTTCTTTGTCAAAATGCTTTAAAGATATACATGTTTCCCATTTACCAAAAACTTATTTCCCGTGAATACACATGCCATCTCGACTTCTTGTCACGTATTGCTATGTTTCTGTTTTTTGTATGTATATATATATTGATGCTTTGTCAATGGCTCTTTTTATGGCTTTAGTACAAAATAAAAGTTCTCCTTCTTCTTCTTCTTCATGTCCTCTATTTCAGAAATTTATTGAAATCTAGGAAAGTCTAACTGAATATGTTTACTTGAAATGAGTAAATTCAAAAACTATATTTTAGAACCTACAGTCACTACTTCTGGTCAAGATAATTTGGTCCTTTCTTAAAAACACTGCCAGAGTTTTTAATGACACGATGTATTCACAAAGTGTTTACCTATACATGTATTGTGCTTGAAAAACCATGTTTTGACTTCGTATTGATTCTCCTTACACTCAATTATTGCGTTTCAATTAAAAAAAGTCCTCATATATGTCTCAAATTAATTATGTACTATTACTAAGATTTGATGCAACTATTGTTTGTTTATTTTTCTTCTTATCTTTTACAGAAAAGTAAACAACTGAATTGTCATTTATTTACAAATACTACATACATGTGTCACAGTATCAAACCAAAATTTCTGATGTAATGAATTTTGTTTTTCTTTTTTTATTTGGCTAACATGTAGTTTGTAAAAGTATATACGTTTTGTTTTAATATATAACAAATGAACATACACATGTTATTATTATAAGACCGATACATCTAGACATTGCGCTTATATCAGCCTAGGTGTTGTTTTTGCGGTTATTTTTTGCGTTTGAAAATCTGGTTTTTGTCACATTTCTTTACCGTTTATATTTAACCCCTACAAACCATTATACTTCACCAATAATATACACATTACCATAGAATGTATCTCCAAGCAAAAGTCCACAAACAGCGAGAGTCATCACTATGACAACGATAGCGAATTGTAATGATACATCTGAAAGAACAAATACATGTATATGATCAGAAATTTTTATACAAGCTCAAATCAGTATATTTTTTAGAAGCTAACTTGCAAATTAAACACTCTTTTAAAACTGGTACACATCTTGTAAAAAGCAGAATCGCACATGTATATACTAGTAATATATGTCATAATCGCATTATTTCAAAAATTTAAAATGAAATCGGGGATCTGTATTTAATTTACATAAAAAGAAACACAATAATGAAACAATAATGTACATTGTATCTCATAAATAAAAGTATATCCAATTTGAAGATATACTCAATTCAAGTCATAGATGAAAAACAAATTCAATTTAAATCTTCGTTTTGATCTTACAATAGATATAATGGAAACTTTAGAGGTGGCCAAAAGAGTAAAATTTAAAAAGTTTTTGTTCTTAACATCATAAAGAAAATTGTGACATTTTGCTCTACTTCTTTTTTTTTTTTCATACATATATACAATGTAATATTTCGAATTATTATTAACAATCGCCTAATCTACAACGTCAATAATAAATCACAAAATCCTTCTTTTAAAAAATAATATAATGTACCTCGGAATTTCTTCAAACATAGTTTCCATTTCATTTTTAATTTACATCCAACTTTTTGAAAATACCTCTGAAATTTCATGATGTATCATGACCATCAATTTTAACGACGAAAATAAAACTACGATATGATCTACATGAAATGACCGGAAGGACCTAATATCAGTAATAAATAGCAAATTCGCTTAAACGTTTAAAAGTCGAATTTAAGCATGCCTTAACAGTTTTGGGAGAAATAATTAAATATTGTCGGTTTAAATTATTTATTTATACATGTACTGTAAACCATTTAATAGCATTTAAATGTAACAAATTGTGTGCCCTTCCCGCTTTAATAGGAGACTCACAATTTTTGTTACTATAAACAGACAAAATTATATAGTTTGTTTAAAGACGTATAAATCATTCGTACAATTTTGCTTGACATTCCATGCTAAAGGACAGGCAAACTTTGGATTTTATCAAGCTTCTATTTTTGGTACAGTCAATTATTGTTTAGTTTAATCATATTTTATTGCTTTTTTTTCTTTCAATACAAAACATATACAATGTCACACACAAACATAAGACAAAACCTTAACGAATAAAACTACAGTATAAATTTAAATGGATGCTGTAGTTGTCCATAAAAAGCAAAATGGTTGGACCACAAGTTTTAACAACATAAGAGAGTTGGCACTTTCGACAGTCATAAACTTTGCACGGATGTGCAGACTGGTTTGGCTCTTTACTGGAGGGTTATTAATTTTGGTTTCAGAAGGCTAAGATCAATTTTGAACGCGAACGGTTGTATCAGTCCACCATACGACCCCAAATTTCATAAGCAACATCTCAAAGGAAGAAATTTCGGATATAATAATTTCGGATAGAATTAAATATTTGTTAAAATCATGGTGTAATACATTCTTAAATATGTATTTATACTGATAATGATTTAATATTTACCGATGTGTCCAATGTGTTCGAAAGTCAACCGGCACATTTGTGCCGTCTGAACATTGTCCGCACTGTTCGTAATTAAGTCAGCTAAATATATGTCATGGAAAATAGTAAAATGAGTAAAATCTTCCGAACACTAGCAGTCAATTTCTACGTCTTATAATAATTATATGGTATAATTTTGGGCCAAGTGCTGTGATGAAAATCGCGTTTCGTAATTTATCATCACTTTATTTTAATAATTAAAAATTAATTTATAATTTCAATTTCTTCCGACTATCGATTTAGAAGATATTTAAGTGTTATGTCATATCCGTTGCATTGGGACCGGTTGAGTTGGGAATGTTCTTCTTTTGATCATGAATTTTCTAAATTCACGTATCTAATTTTATAATGCTTTTGTTACAAATCTCACTTTAGACTATAGGCATATGCTAGGGGTTCATATAGACATCTTGTAATACGAAAACAACCACATATAATTTATTTAAACTTTGAATAATCTAAGAATATAATAACAACATTTTATGCGTTACAATCGGGGTCACCGACACCGGTTTCGAGTAAAAACTAGACATAAATGTATTGTTTACACTTCCAAATGTAATTTAAACCCTTTAACTACTGGCGGCAATTGAATCTACTGAATCAATTGAATCCGGGCCGTATTCGTTTTTCATTATAGATCCTGTAACACAATTTTTTCATGGTTTTATTTCATAAATATGATGCTCAAATTAAGATTTGTCAATATTGTAAGTTCCAATAAGCATTATTTTTAAAGATATTAAACAATTTAACATTTCATGTAAATAAAGGGAGGTAATTAGAAATTTATCTTTTATAAATTTTAAGTCAAATTTTCCAATAAGAAATGAATGCATGTAATTTATTGATTAAATATAATGTGCACAAATACTTGAAGTACACATTTTACATAGTCTTTGATGTTTGAAAATTGTTTTATTTACATAATTATATACATATATTTTTTGCAAGTGTGGTATACACACAGTATCAATATCAATCATAAAACATACAGGATCTTTAAGCACAATAAAATGATTAATGATTTTGTTTTCAGATCGAAAATCCATTTATGATATTCAGCCTAGTAAGGGTTAAAATTCACAAACATCATTTTTGCAATTATTTGTTATTGTGTCTGTTCGATTTATTATTATAACTTCACTCAAAACTTTCATAAATGAATTCGTTTTCTCTTTATGGTAAACTCGGCTTGTTAAAAGTCCTAACACCGATTTATCGTAATTATGACAACTTCCGGTATAAGGCGCACTGACGTCACAATGTTTTGATCCGTGTGGCGCGATGCAGTTTTTATCTAATGCGCACCTTGTCCATGCGCGGATAAGTACTCTGGTAACGGAATTAAAATAGATAAGAACAGAGTTTGCATCCGTGACATGAAAATTTCTGAATTTACAACTGTCTTCGCCTAGGTACTTAAAAGTTCTTGCATCTGTAGTTTTGGTTAAATTCCTCTTAACCATTTCAGGGAAAATGTTAAAAAGCAATCCATATCTTTTAGCTGCCCAAAATACATTCTCAACATCTAATGTTTTAAATCGGACTGAAGAATCCACCCACCATACAAATCCAAACTCCATAAGAAGTATCTGAAAATGAAAAAGTGTTTAACAATATGTCGTCGTGTGTGACGTCAAATACCAAATGGCGTAAAGTATTGTCAGTGAATTTTCTTCTTTTTCTATGAGCATTTAAGACTTGAATAATGAGAAATGATTCATCGTCTACAAACTTATAAAAGGGTAATACACTTACCTGAATTATTATAGGCTTCCATGCCATATACTTTAGAGCTTTAACATGTGTCGGGAATTGGTCAAACGGGAATTTACGAATTTCAAAAGGCATCCCAGAGTCCTGGAAAAAATACCATTCATTTGTATCAGACTTAATTGCATTTCCTAAAGTTACTTGTTCAAACTTTCCTATAAAATATAGTTTTACCTCTCCTTCTATTCCGTAAAAGATGAAGCAATTTTCTCTTTTATATTCAAAGATTACGCAATAGTTTTCTTAGCTCAATGAAGATGTGAAGATGCTTTATCTTGCAGAATTTACTCCGACCAAAACTTATTTTTTATCACAATTATTACATCATTTTACTGAGACCAGGAGTTCGTTTTATAGATATTGCGTGTACAACATCAAAATCGGCACGTTGGTGTTATGAAATTCAAAACAGATCCATATTGCTGTTTGACTTTTTGTCAATTGCTTCGCTATTAAATCTTTCTGGCTACCTAATTAAAAGTCCTATTTTGAGAAAATGCTATATACACATAATCAAGTCTACTAGAATTATATTGAATAAAATTATAAATTATATGACATATGGGTTCATTCAATAACCAATGTTTTTATGTTTTTATAGAAAAATATGAAAATGTATAGCATAATGATATTATTAATTATATGTATGTATACTTTCATTAGGATTGTGTCATATATAATTGAATTTCGTTTTGTAATCTAGACTACGAATATTTTGTTTTTGTAACGTCAGGCTCAATTTACACACAATCTAAATGTCTTTATTTACCTTTATAAGATTCCTTTGTAATTTCGTCATTCCGATGTCGTAAATCAAAAAATCTATTTTTACTCCTTCCACCCGGTTGACAGCACGGCCATGATATGATTTTACAAGGCCAAATAGAAGTGGAAAATATTGACTGGAAATTGCTGTTACTAGCACGGGGCTGCCTTGTCTTTGAGTGATTGGCTGTTTAAGAGATCCACCAATTTTCCACATGTAACTATCCGCTGTACCACCAGGGTAGTTCTCAACAACATGTAGGTTCTCCTCTAGAGTTGCTGCAAAGGTCTCGTTACAGTCTTCATCTACAGCTAAGAACGAGCAACAAAGCAGTTTGAAAAATTTTAATATTTTTAATTATATATAATTTAAACATCTGATGCTTTGAGAAAATCATGAACAATTTACTTTTATGACAAACCAAAAACTTTTATGTTTTAAAAACGACAGATATGTTATAAAGACGTGTCTTTTTTATTTTAGGTATATCATGCAATATTGATTGCAAGTGTATATCATTTATTGTATTTCAGATGCAACATAATTTATGCATATCTTTTATCTTTTATTGAAACAATGTCGGAAGGTCAAACTCTCTTATCTTGTCAAAACTTTTGTAAAAAAGGTTAAAATTGAACACAAAGGCAAAAAAAAAGGAACAGTGCAACATTTCTTGAAGTATTGTCAAGAATGATTTCTTCAGCACTAATTTTAAAACTTTGTAAAAAAATGGGGTCATACTTAGACTTTTATCAGAATTTTCGTGTGCTATTGAATCAAATTCAGCATTCCTTTTCACCTCTGAAATTATACAAAATATATATTTTATAAATAAGTGTCACACCTTCAATATATAGGTCTAATGCTAATTTTCCAACTTTTAATAAAAATCCATCCTCAGTCACTGAACCATTACATACCTAGTCATTACGAATTCAGCAATTTAAGCCACTCAGTCTTGTGGCCGCTAAAGAATTCAATAGAATTGATAAACAACTTTACAGAACAATGAAAGTTAAGGCTTACATTTGTAATTATGTTTTATAATGCCAATACATAAAACAAAAATAAAGAAAATAGCAAAACTTCGAAATAGAAATTTAACCATTCCTGTGTAATATTAAAAACTCTTCTTCTATGGTTTACGGTAAATAGTAGTTGGTTATTATATTAAATTTATATTGAATTAGCATGGTTGACTTTAATATGATAACCTATATAAAGTTACGGCTATTCAATAATGTGACTAAACCTATTTAAATTGTTTACAATTTTTTAATATTTTGATACACTGCGTGTTTTTAATGTATGTTCGAAACAGCTCGAGGGTTAATAAGATGTCCAGATTCATATCGAGTTATAGTATTTAACATATGTGCCTCTACGTTTACATTTACACATATCCTAAACACTTAATTAACAGCAAGACGTTTACATAACTAGATATTTAAAGCTTACACAATATGTTTTTCTTTCCAGATTCCTTATTTGTCGCATTTTATATTTATATTTCTTATTTATGCATGAGTTGGTGCTTGTGTGCATGGACGGTAGCTTGCCCTGTCGTTCATTTGATTTAATCAAATTTTAAACCTAGCTTTTCATGGTTTTCATTTTTGATTGTTAGGCGACTTTTTCCGTTTAGTATATTCAACATTATTTCATTATCACAAAATTGTCATTAACTTTACCATCATGAAAGAAGCTATGTAACTTAATTTAAAGAAAAATATCCACCGTTTAATTAAAAAATATCGACAAACATCGCTAGTTTACGTTTCCGACATTTATTAATAAAGCGTCAAGGACTTTGTTATTTCCACAAAGTGTTTTAAACGATGGAAAGCTTCTAAAAGTTTGATAGAAATATCTACTGAAAATTTAGACAAATTTGATACTCGGTATTTCAATTTTCAAGGGACAGCTCATTCGATGGTTGATGGATAAAACTCAAGAAACGAGAAACTGCTGCATTGATGAAAATCCCTTGTCAATAGTTTCTAAAATAACTGAAAAGAAAACAACAACACTGAAATTTCCAATAAATGATGATATTATCTATCGTTCTGTCGAATGTCTATTATGCTAGGCTTTCTTTTATATTCAGATAATCTTAGTTTTATTTTGTGTTAGAAATTTAACCAAAACAACAGATGCTTAACGGTATTGCTTCTCAGACAAAATGACGATATTTAATTACAACTCATTACTATTATAGAGCTGACTTTTAGCAGCATGATATTGTAACATCAATAAAACATGAAACAGCTGATTAAATTCCGTATTCAAATCTTTCCAAATTATCTAAAATCCATCTAAAGATATTCCCTACAGACTGACATATAATAAAAACATTTGTATTTAAAGGAAATCCTGTCACTTCTCATTATTGGAAATGATGCTTAGACAAAATTGCTTAGAAATAGGAGGCGACCGTAATGGGTGTTTAAAGATCATCTGTGAGACGAAATTAGCCTTTGTGAATTTAGAAACACATTGTGGTGGTATTTGTTAGATTGCTTAAAATGCATGTTTCAAAAAAGTATTGAATTGAAGATTTCCGCGAAAAAATATTCTTAGTTTTTTAATGTATTTTGTACGTTAAAAGGGACTCCACTATGCTATTTTGACAGTACTTTTTTCAACAATTTATTTTTTTGAAGTGGTGTACGATTTAATGTAAGTCAGGACTAATAATATGATTTGTGCGAAAAAATGCAAATAATTGCTCACTACGTTTTTCTCAGAATAATCACTTTTCAATGAACAAAATGACCTAGAAGTGAAGAACGATATAACTCAAATCAGGCTACGAATCGAATGAAAAAATCGCTTTTTAAATAGTAATTCTGAGTCTGTTTTGTATCATCCTTGGCATATTTGCTCATGTTAAGTGTCTACGTGGATCTTTGTTAGAATTTCAAAGCTTCCTCACATGCAATAATCCAAAGGCCCTGTCTGGTTTCAAACCCACCACGGTTAGGGGCAAGTGGTTAAAAGTAAAAGACCTAAACCAATCGGCCACTGACGCACCTAAAACAGTCACGTCCTGTGAATATATATATTCCAACGGAGTCGAGCAAAACCTGATCACTCCAGTTTTTGTACAACAGCAGTTATCCGCTATACGTTGTAGCGCGAATAATTTGACAAAAATATCTTTCTCGTCAATCAGGCAGAATCCTTTAATGTGAAAATGTGATAAACTTGAATTATCTGTCTCTTGATTTAAATGAAATGGGTTTATAATCATATGACTTTATCAGTTTAGTGATGTATCTTATACATATAAGCCGATAAGCTTTAAAAGATTAATCTTATTTTATACAGATACAATTTGTTTCAAGCGCAATGTTCAAATATATCATTTATTTTATTTAGAATATACATCTTTTAAAACATAATTAAAATTTCATTACCTTAGCTCAGGCATTGTTCACGAAATTTTGAATTCGACTCGTCATAGCAACTTATTTTAATAGGTCACGTGTTTAATTGGCCACTTCTTCTAAAATAAAGATACAAAGAAAGATCTTTTTAAGAGACTCTTGTTTATGTTTACTCTTAGAATACAATTAAGATATTATTTACTGGAAAACAATCAATCATTAATACAAATATTCATGTTACCCTTTATCTAATTTATATTATTCTTTGCCACCTTTCTGGCTTCCGCATTGCCTTTAATATTTGAGACATCAGTTTTGCAGCCACTATTCATTCCTGCGTGATTGTAAGGGTTCAAATAACTGGAGTATATGCATCTCATCGCTCCAGCACGGAGGTTAGCTAAATCATCACTCCTTTTATGTTTCCGCCATATGACCTAAATTGTGTTGGTGCGCCGTAAAACCAAACAAACAATAAAATTTTCCGTAAAGCGCTCTTGTTTATGATTCAAGTACTAGTACACATTTCTCCCTCTGGGTAACAAAGCGTTTCTTTGTCATTAAATTATTTTTAAGTTTTCAGAAATCTGAAAATCTTTTCAAGCAGTCAGATAATCTTCACAGAGATTTCATCATTTAATTTAGTTCTATAACCGAAAATTCCCATAAGGTTTATCCTGCATTTAGTTATCAAAAAATCCACAAACACAATAATTATCATTTTAGCAGTGCTGGTACAATCTTTCACAGTAATTACAAACATAATAACAATTCCTGTCGGAAATTATTGAAGAAGAAAAATAAGATGAAAGTTTTATTATACATATATCCCATTAAACACTTAGGTTAATACTAAACGAGTTCTAACCGTTTTGTCATGGCTGTTATAAGATATAATAAAATAAGAAATAATTCACTTTTTACAATCTTAAGTATTCGCTCAAATGATTAAAATTAAATCTTGCAAAGAAGTCACAAATTCCAAACTATTTCATACTTATAAAGTATTTAACAGTAAATATTACAAACATTGTTAAATTGTTATGATACGAATCTAATACATCATTTCTTTTCACATTCGTTGAATAGAGAAGTTTCCTATGATTGTTTGGAACTCATTGAACTAATGATGTTGTGCACTGATAAAGTTAATAATATTTATGGCACATAATTCTTATCATTCCTTTTATCTTCACAACATAATGAAAGTGTAAAGGATTGTTTAGCATCTGTAAAAAGTTGCCATGTACTTTATCTCAGTGATTTTATGTTGTGTTGTGCCTTCCTTCGTTTCCATTTATTTTTGTTGAATTATTGCCTAAGCCGTTGCTGGAATGGTGGGCGTAAGATGTGTTACATCTTACAGTATCTCTCCTGAACCGCTGTAATCAAACAGAGCTTTATTTTTGAAAATGATATACATATGTATGTTTACTTAATAAACATACCATGTATTGCCAACATCTGTACACATATCAAATGATTAACAATATAGATACTATGTCTATGTCTTGTAAATCAATTTTTGAGGCAAAATCTCATCAATTGCAAATGTACTTGTCATGAAGAAAGAATGTCATTTCTCGAAACGTTAAAAAAAGAAATATTCTTGTTTTTTAGTCTGTCAGTGATCTAAAAGGGAAACGGAAACACAAAGTCAGACAACTATGAAAATGGAACAATAAATTAATTCGAAAAACAAAAACTAAAAGTATAATGAAAGTTGAAATGCCATGTATAATGTTTCACGAAATACTTATGTCACATATTCATTGATGAATAATTCTTCAGTGGCATGTGGTGTCGCGAACTTGTTCATCACGTTGCTATATTATTCGTTTCTGATGCACTTAAGCATTTTACACAAGTCCGGTGAGATGGCATTCTAAATGAAAAGAACTACTATTTTTGTCCTAACTACTTTACCAATTTACATCTTTGAACAATGTTCTAAAAGCATCTAAGTTGTAATGCTTTTACCGTCTTTGAAGTGAAAATTCTATGTATTACATTTCTCTAAAAGTCATGTCTCCGGATATCTTAAAAAGTAAATGGTTACAAATAAGATTTGTCAGTAATGTTGCAGAAACTACTCCGTTAAATATAAAGAGCCACAAAATTTGCTTTTAACCCTACAATACTATTTGCTTGTGCGTTTACATTAGGTCTTAGGCTAGCTATTTTCGATATCTCAATATAGCACAAATTAAATTTTGTCAAATCTGTCAAGTAATAATGATTTTATACGAAATATATGGCGGCTACAGTTGAATTATTGTAAAACTTTCCTCTTGCAGATAATGAGTATATACTATATGGTATATTTCCTTGGCATCTAATATTCATAAAAACACATATGTAGTAAAAATTCTTACGTTGTGTTCAATAACAAACTGGTCTGATAGTTTTTATTATGCGTAAATTAACATACAAATTGGTCCTTGAAATTTCCGATCGTTTGCTGATATTTTAAAGTGAATTACGAAATGTATATTACATAACCATACACATAACACACATAATTGAATGCAAAGGTAATAGTTTGTCACACAAATAAACAGCCAGTACTTAAAATAATTAAAATGAAATATCAATCACAAATATATTTGTAATAGAAATATATGATGGTGATGAAATTGATTGATGATTGTATTATTTATTGTTTTGTTCCAAGTTTTATTATCTTTGTTTTATGTTCATAAATGCTTGGTTTTGTTTAACATTCGAGTTTCCTCAGCTTTTGTTTAGTTGCAGTTTAATTAAACACTAGATGCTAAACGACTGAAGGCCACCCGTCTATCCCATAAATTTTTGTAATTTGGTCTTTTTTTAAAGAGAAAATGTCGATATATAATTATTATTTTTTACTTTTTGGAGTATAAACTTTCAGCCGCATGATAATGTATCATCAGTAAAACATGAAAAACTGATTAAATTCCTTGTTCATATCTTTCCAAATCATCAAAAATCCATCAAAAGATATTCCCTACCAAAAGATATTCCCTACAGACTGACATATAATAAAACATTGTGTGGACAGCTTTTTACATACGCCGCTTCTAATGGGATGGCACTTTCATTCAAGGTTCCATGATCACCGGAAGAATGTAAAAATGGCATTTGATTCCTTTTGCTTTGAAATTTGCAATATGTCAAACATTGAAACACGTTGACACTGTGGTGTATGGTACCTGTACACAATAAATACACTAACGTGTATCAATCCTAAAACTGAATTAGATGAGTGCGGTTGCTTAGTGATGTGTCATCCTCTCAACCGCGTATTTTGGTATGAGCCCTACTATCATTATATCTGATATGATTTTAGTACTAGTTTGTCAGATCTAAAATGAGGGGCTCTGAACTAACCTACATACCGTGGTATTAATCTCCATTAGGAACAATTTAAAATAGTAAATGATACAAAAACACTGGTAAATATGCAGTATAAAGCAATGTAAAATGGAATTCCAGCAACATAGTTATCGACAAATTAAAAAATGTTGATATTAGGATATATGTTAAATTTCACAACAAAATCTAAAATTAATATACCGTAGATTGCAGGTTATAACAAATTTTATTTCTATGCCATCAATATGTAGCTTCATTAACAATTAACGTTCTTTGTCAATTTTTATTTACAATGTGACAAAATATGTTCTATTGATAATAATATATAAAAAATATCATATGCAGACAGGCGAGCAAATTGAAAAAAGATAATGAACATAGTTTGTAACATAAAGAAATAAACAGCTATGTCGATAAATATTTGTTCGAAATATCTACAAAAAATATTAATACGAGCACTGTTGACTCCCGGTGTTCAAAAATTTAATGAATCGGGCAGCTCACTTCATCGTTGATCAATACAATTCGAGATATAAAGAGCTGCTGCATTGATGAAATCCCTTGTCAATAGTTTCTTAAATAACAGAAAAAGCCCTGAAATTTCCAATGAATGATGATATTATTTATCGTTCTGCCGAATGTCCATTAGTGCTGGGCTTTCGTTTACTTTCGGATAATCTCAGTTTTAATTTTTCCCAGACATTTAACCAAAACAACAGATGTTTAACGGTATTGCTTCTCAGACAAAATGACGATATATAATAACAACTCATTACTATTCTAGAGCTGACTTTCAGCAGTATGATATTGTTACATCAATAAAACATGACACAGCTGATTAACTTCCGTATTCAAATCTTTCCAAATCATCTAAAATCCATCTAAAGATATTCCCTACAGACTGACATATAATAAAAACATTTGTATCAAATGAAATCCTGTCACTTCTCATTATTGGAAATGATACATAGACAAAATTGCTTAGAAATAGGAGGCGACCGTAATGGGTGTTAAAAGACCATCTGTAAGACGAAATTAGCCCTTGTGGGTTCGAATTACTAGAGTCTATACATCTCTTAGCTCCAGCAGGTGAGGTTGTTGTGACCCGTGGTGTTGCTTTAAGTTTTTAATACCCTACGTAAGACAAAGTCACTTTTCCATTTTAGTTTCCGCAATATGACCTAAATTGTGTTGGTGTTGTAAAACCAAACAAACATACAAACAGAAATATTATTCTTTGAGAAATAATGATGATCCTATACGTATATAAAAATAATACAATAAATGCTGTTTATCAGCTCAGATTTTATCAAAAACCAACAACGCATTTGTAAATTTAAAACATAGGTTATTTGATTACATTTTGTACCCTTCATTTACATTAGTTTTTTCATCAATTACATTGCAGGTTTCCCATGTAGCGCATTTGTTAATATTCCAACACAAGTACACATTCATCCGGGTAACAAAGCGTTTCTTTGTCATTAAATTATTATCACAAGTTTTCAGAAATCTGGAAATCTCTGTGAACAGTACGGTAATTTTCATCATTAGTTATTTAACAGAAAGTTCAAAAATCCCATAAGGTTTATCCTGCATTTAGTAACCAAAAAGCCACACAAAACATTGTTATCATTTTAGCAGTGCTGTTGCAATCTATTACAGTAAATTTGATTTCACAAATAGAAACGATTCCTGCTGGAAATATTGAAGAAAAAGAAACGGACTCAACAGATGTAGAAGACGACGAGAAAATTATTAAACTTATTTAATTTACTTCTAAATTTATACATCAAAACTAATCTATAGTTCTAAAACGTTTTGTCACGGCTGTTATTAGATATAACAAAACAAAATAATATTTAGTATATACAATCTGGAGTATCAGTTCAAATAATTATGAAATCAGATATTCTAAAGAAGTAATGAATTTCAAACTATTTCATACTAACAAAGTATCTAACAAATAATATAACGAAAATTGTTAAAATATGATAAACAAGATCATCAAGGGAAGTCTATGATATGAATCTAATAAATCATTCTTTTCACATTCGCTAAATAGATAAGATTGCTAAGATTGTTCTGTACTGATTAAACTAAGATTTGTTTGTAACGTGTACTGTAGAAAAAATTAGATAAATTTTATAATATTTATGGAATATAATTTCTATTACACTTCAAGTCCTAAATCATAAAGCGTTAAGTGTTCTTTATCATTTTTTTAAAATCTGTCCCTGCCTTTATCAAAGTGTTTTAATATTGCTTAAAAACTTCCTCCGGTTTCATTCATTGTTAATGGATTATTGGCTTAGCCGGTGCTGGGGCTGTAAGATGTATTACATCTTTCATTATCTCTAATGAGCAGCCGCAATTAAACAGAGCTTTACTTTTGAAAATGATACAATATATATCAAATATATTGTCAACATCTTTTTAAATGTCAACAAATTAAAAATAACATTTATGACAGTATGTCTTATAAATCAATTTCTGAGTTAAATTCCATAGATTGAAAATGTAAGTGCTGAGTCAAGAATAAAGAATCTCATTACCCGAAACTTCAAAGGATATAAATAGTTTGGTTCATTTATCTATATCAGTGAACAAAAACGGGAACACAATGGCAGGAAACTATTAAAATGGAATAAAAGCGTAATTAGAAAATACAAACAAACTAAAAATATAATGAAAGTTGTAATGCCATGTACAATGTTTTACGGAATACTTATGTCACATACAATCTTTTTTATTGATAAATGATTCCTTAGTGTCTTGTTATATCACGTACTTGTTAACCATTTTGCTATATCATTTGTTTATGGTGCACTTAAGCAGTTTACAAAAGTCTGGTGAGATGGCATTCTAAATTAAAAGAACAATTATTCTTGTCACAACTACTTTAGCAATTTACATCTTTGAATAATGTACAAAAAGCATCTAAGTTCTAATGGTTTGACCGTCTTTGAAGTGAAAATCCTATGAAAGCATTACATTTATCTAAAAGTCATGTCTCCGGATATCTTAAAAAGTAAATGGTTACAAATAAGATTTGTCAGTAATGTTGCAGAAACTACTCCGGTGAATATAAAGGGCCACAAAGATATTGC